GATTCAACTTTGAATTCATTTCTCTTCAAAAAAATTTTTCGATCCTTTTGTCAACAGATAAAAAACTCACACATTAATAAATAAAATATTTCTTTGTCAAAAGAAATATTATTTTAACAATTACAACTTACACCTTTAAATAAAATAAAAAATGTCTGGACGTGGTAAAGGAGGAAAAGGTCTTGGTAAAGGAGGAGCTAAAAGACATCGTAAAATTCTTAGAGATAATATTCAAGGCATTACAAAACCTGCCATTCGTAGATTAGCACGCAGAGGTGGTGTTAAACGTATCTCGGGTCTTATATATGAAGAGACAAGAGGCGTATTAAAAGTGTTCCTCGAAAATCTAATTAGTAGTAATAATAATAATGATGATGGTAACAAATAAATAATAACAAATATTAATAATAACCTAATTGTCATCTTTAGAATATGGTGACCTATGTAGAACATGCAAAACACATCCTTGTGTGTCGGTATGTTGGTTCACAGTGTATCCGTTAGATATACTATATTATAATTTTTTAATAAATAAATGTGTTTAATTCTTTAATTATTACAGTTTATGCACTAAAGAAACAAACAGACACAAATATTATTCTTTTTTTGCTAAATTATCATTTAATTATTAATTTTTTTTTGATTTTTTTTAACATAAACTAGTTAATCAATTTTATTACATCTATGCTAATAAATACATTAATCAACATATCAATGATCATTGTGTAATTTTACATGATTGATCCGGTTATTTTTATATATATATAATATCTAAAAAATGCTGCCACTACTAAAGTTCGATCTTAATGCCTTACATTTATTGTTTCATTATAATAGCCACCTTTATCGGTCTTCCAATAATCTTTTTTGTAATTATTACTGCTGGAGTTGTGGTATGCAATATCTGTTAGGTTGAATTACTTTCTCAGATTACGCAAATAACTTAAACTTCTTTTAGTTCTTTTTTATTGCCTGCGTTTATTTATTGATTGCCTTAATCGCTTACCTCGGTTATCTCGAATTCGAGGGTATTATCTGGATTCTGAAAGGCCTTGGAATACTTGATGGTACGTATATTATGGCCAATCATTGTGCTTGTGTAATATAAAATCTTCTAAAATTTTTTGTTTTATGGACATGCTTAAAGCCAACGGCCACAAAATAGATCTTGACAACTTGGACTTCAACAGTACCTACACGTTTGAAGAATTCGAATTAATCAACGAACAACTAAAGACACATACCCTGGAGATTGAGGGTAATCCAGTAAATCTGTTTGAGCTCGATAAAGGAAAACTCCTACCAATGCCACAAAATCCAATAAGCAAGGAAGCCGTAGTTTGTGAAATTTCTAGACAACTTAGCAATTGGAATGTGCAGACTCGTGAAAATGAAATTATCACTACATCTCAGGGGGGATTTGATTTCAACATTTCTGGTCGAGCTTGGTTGGTTAGTGGATCCACAAAATAAGCTATATTTCATAATTAAGCATTTTCAGAGCCATCATCATCATCAGAAGATGATGAAACAATCAACTGTCCTAAATGTGATGCAACTTTCTCAAATGATTACACTTTTATGAAGATAATCATGTTCGTAAATAGAGGTTGGCACCGCGCAAAAATTCTTTAACCGGTTAATTTAGTCACGTGGAATTTTTAACTAAATTCGATCGTTCACTACTTACAAAATAATCACGTGCCTGTTGAATTTTATTGTTATACACTTGATAATTGCTAAATGATTACAGTCAAACCTCGCCACAGCGGATTCATGGTTCCAGCCAAAAAAATCCGTTATTATTATTATTA